GGCTGAGGCAGGAGAATTGCCTGAACCCAGGAGGCGGAGGTTGTGGTGAGCCGAGATCACGCCATTGCACTCCAGCCTGAGTAACAAGAGCGAAACTCCGTCTCAAAAAACAAAAAAACAAAACATGTTTTCTGGCCTTTGAATTTCTTTTAAACTGGTGTTTAGATATGGAGGCCTGATCAGATTCAAGTTCACTTGTTCTTTTTTTTTTTTTTTTTTTGAGACAGGTCTCATGCAAGAAAGAATTCAGGGCCAGTCCGTAAAGTGAAAGCAAGTTTATTAGGAAAGTGAAGAAATAAAAGGATGGCTGCTCCACAGAGAGAGTAGCCCCGAGGGCTGCCAGTTGCCCATTGTTTTGTTTTGTTTTTTTTTTTTTGAGATGGAGTCTCACTCTTGTTGCCCAGGCAGGAGAGACAATGGCTCCATCTCGGCTCACTGCAACCTCCGCCCTCTGGGTTCAAGGGATGCTCCTGCATCTGTCTCCCGAGTAGTTGGTATTACAGATGTGTGCCACCATGCCTGGCTAATTTTTGTATTTTTAGTAGAGATGGAGTTTCACCATGTTAGCCAGGCTGGTCTTGAACTCCTGACCTCGGGTGATCTGTTTGCCTCGGCCTCCCAAAGTGCTGGGATTACAGGTGTGAGCCACAGTGCCCCGCCTTGCTTGCCAAAAAAAATTATAAACATTATAACCATTATAAAATTTAATTTAATTATAAATTAACTTTATAAACCAATAAAAATCATAACCATTATAACAAAAAAATAACCATTTTAATGGTTATTTCTTGATGATATGGTAAACAAAGGGTGGATTATTCATGCCTCCCCTTTGTAGACCACACAGGGTAACTTCCTGACACTGCCATGGTATCCATGAACTGTCGTGGCACTGGTGGGAGTGTAGCAGTGAGGATGACCAGAGGTCACTCTTGTTGCCATCTTGGTTTTGGCCGGCTCCTTTACTGCAACCTTGTGCTAACCTCCTTCCTCATCCTGTGACTTGAAATGCCTTCACCATCTGGGAATGCAGCCCAGTAGGTCTCAGCCTCATTTTGCCCAGCTCCCACTCAAGATGGGGTAGCTGGGATTACAGGTGCGTCCCACCACACCTGGCTAACGCTGTTTTCTAGTCGTGATGGGGTTTCACCATGTTGGCCAGGCTGGTCTTGAACTCCTGAAGTGAAGTGATCCACCTCAGGATGGAGGTGCTCAGGCTCAAATGCCTCTGACAAAATGCCTATGGAAGGCATGTGGTCTCCTGTAGCTAGGACACCTGCAGTCTGTGGCTAGAGCCTGCCGTCCCTCTGTCCCTTCACTCACCCCTTCCCTAGGAGGCTTTCAGTGCTGGGAACCGGCCCTAGCATTCAGCTCCCCGACACCATACTTCCAGGTTCCTCACTCTTCAGCCCTGATGTCTGCATCTCCTCTGTACCAACTCTTGGTGTTTTCTCTCCGAAGACCTTCTCTAGGTATGTTGGTTTACCCAATATTTTGGTTTCTCTTGGTGGGAGTGGTACTTCCTGGCTGTGTCCACTCAGCCATCATGACCTGTCTCTAGGCATGATTTTGAAAAAAAAATTTTTTGAGACAGAGTCTTGCTGTGTTGCCAGGCTGGAGGGCAGTGGTGCAATCTCGGCTCACTGAAACCTCCAATTCCCTGGTTCAAGTGATTCTCCTGCCTCAGCCTCCCAAGTAGCTGGGACTACAGGTGCGCACCACCACACCTGGCTAATTTTTGTATTTTAGTAGAGACGGGGTTTCACCATGTTGGCCAGGATGGTCTCAATCTCCTGACCTCGTGATCTGCCCCTCTCTGCCTCCCAAAGTGCTGGGATGACAGGCTTGAGCTACGTATGTGTGTGTGTGTGTGTGTGTGTGTGTGTGTGTGTTTTGAGACAGAGTCTGACTCTGTCATCCAGGATGGAATGCAGTGGCACCATAAATGGTTCACTGCAACCTCCACCACCCGGGTTCAACTGATTCACATGCCTCAGACTCCCAAGTGGCTGAGATTGCAGGCACACACCATCACACCTGGATAATTTTGTATTTTTAGTAGAAATGGTGTTTCACCATGTTGGCCAGCCTGGTCTTGAACTCCTGGCCTCAAGTGATTCACCTGCCTCGGCTTCGCAAAGTGCTAGGATTACAGGCATGAGCCACCACACCTGGCCCTTTACTCTATTTTATTTTATTTATTTTTTATTTATTTACTTTTTTGAGACGGAGTTTCACTCTTGTTACCCAGGCTGGAGTGCAATGGCGCGATCCTGGCTCACCACAACCTCCGCCTCCTGGGTTCAAGCAATTCTGCCTCAGCCTCTCAAGTAGCTGGGACTACAGGCATGTGCCACCGTGCCCAGCTAATTTTTGTATTTTTAGTAGAGACGGGGTTTCACCTTGTTGACCAGGATGGTCTCGATCTCTTGACCTCGTGATCCACCCGCCTCGGCCTCCCAAAGTGCTGGGATTATAGGCATGAGCCACTGCACCTGGCCTACTCTATTTTATTTTATTTATTAATTTATTTTTATTTTCTTTTGAGATGTATTTTCGTCCTGTTGCCCAGGCTGGAGTGCAGCGGTGCAATCTTGGCTCACTACAATCCCCACCTCCCAGGTTCAAGCCATTCTCCTGCCTCAGCCTTCCAAGTAGCTGAGATTACAGGCATTCGTAAAGACAGGGTTTTACCTTGGCCACACTGGTTTCGAACTCCTGACCTCAGGTGATCCATCTGCCTTGGCCTCCCACAGTGCTGGGATTATAGGTGGGAGCCACTGCTCCTTGCCCTTTACTCTATTTTTAAATAACTGTTTCCTCTGGTATGTATTAACTCCAGTGTCCTTAACCTATGCTGGCTAATACTTGTTGTAGAATTTTACGACAGCCTCATAACCTGATTCCCTGCCTCCTACCCATTCCCAGCCCACCATTCCCAGCCCACCCTCCATCATCTCCTGCTTGGAAGCGTCAGCACCCTGCTGTCTGCCTTTGCCTAGTTACCATGCGCTTTCAGTCTAAAGACCAAAAGATTTTGCCTGTCATTTTTGGATTTTCAACTTCTAACTCTTGCCTGCCTCTAAAGTCTTGCATTTACTCTGTTCTTTTACGAGTTTATTTCCAGCCATATTAAACTACTTTAAGTTATACTTCTCCAGAGCAAGACGTGCTTCCCTTAAAACCTACTGTGGTCGGGCAGGATGACTCATGCCTGTAATCCCAGCTCCTGGAGAGGCTGAGGCAGGAGAATCGCATGAACCTGGGAGGCAGAGGTTGCAGTGAGCCGAGATCACACCCGCCATTGCACTCTAGCCCGGGGACAGTGCAAGACTGTCTCAAACAACAACAAAAGACCAATCAAATATACAAACAAACAAAACACCCTCAAATCATAGAAGACTTAAAAAAATTGGCACTTTCTGTTGAATACAGATGAATCACAGAGTCTTATAATCTAACATTCAAACTTCCAGGTTACAAATCAAAATTACTTAGAATCCAAGGGTAAGCTGTGGCGGGGCATGGTGACTCTCACCTGTAATCCCAGCACTTTGGTAGGCTGAGGTGGATGGATCACTTGAGGCCAAGAGTTCCAGACCAGCCTGGCCAACATAGTGAAACCCCATCTCTACTAAAAATACAAAAAATTAGCTGGGTGTGATGGTGCCCACCTGTAATCCCAGCTACTCAAAAGGCTGAAGCAGGAGAATTGCTTGAACCCAGGAGGCAAGAAGGCAGAGGTTGCAGTGAGCTGAGATCATACCACTGCACTCCAGCCTGGGGGACAGCAAGATCTGTCTCAAAAAAAAAAAAAAAAAAAAAAAAGAAAAAGAAAAAATAAGAGAATTCATAGCCATCAGATGTTTCAGACAAAGGAGAATATTGCAGAATGAAACTTGGAATATCAAGAGTGAAGGAAGAGAAGAGAAATGGTTAACTAACCGGAAATATATAGTAGGCTATTTTCCTCACGAGTTATTGAAATAGCCAACGGGCTATACAAAACTTAATGATTACAAGATATATAATCATTTCCAAGGGCTTTTCTTTTTCTTTTTTTTTTAAGATGTAGTCTCACTCTGTCACCCAGGCTGGAGTGCAATGGTGCCACCTCGGCTCACTGCAACCTCCGCCTCCCGGGTACTTGTAGAATAAATGAATTTACATTATTCTAGTAATAACAGTAATAGATAAAATGTGAAAGGGGCAACATATATAAAATCAATACCATGAGTAAATACCTGAGTCTCTTTAATTGAGAGATTTGGTTAGCTTTCCTGCTTTTGTGGTGGAACGGTGAGACTTCGAACAGAGTGTCCACAAAAACTGGCTTTCATGTTAATCAGGAGACTTTCCCTTTCTAGGTCTTGTCACCCATAAGCACAACTGCCTTGAAGTTCTTCACGCTGGGTCTTCAGGAAATGTGTCAGTGGATGAAACAGTTACATATTGAGCCATGATTAGAAATGATTTAAAAGCATCCTTTTTATTCTCTTCAGATATTCTTTTGAGATGGAGTCTTGCTCTGTCACTAGTGCAGATCTCTGCTCACTGCAACCTCCACCTCCCCGATTCAAGCGATTCTCCTGCCTCAGCTTCTTGAGTAGCTAGGACTGTAGGCGTGCGCCACCACACCCAGCTAATTTTTGTATTTTTAGTAGAGACGGGGTTTCACCATTTTGGCCAGGATGGTCTCGATCTCTTGACCTCGTGATCCGACAACCTTGCCCTCCCCAGGTGCTGGGATTACAGGCATGAGCCACTGTGCCTGGCCAGAAGGTATAGTCTTTCTCTTCAGGTGTTCTTGAGGAAAAGGCATTGGGATACAGCCAATGAGTATCTTCTAGGTTATGTATCTGTCCCAGAAGCCTGTGTGATGGGCAAATGTTACTCAGCCCTCCTCTGTTTTGGACACTGGAATCGATGATGCATTTCTCTTCATCCATTTCCAATGAGAACACTGGATTCTCTCTTGCAGACACTCGGACTGACTCACTTTACAAAGTATGCTGTCTAAGATAGGACACAAGGTAAGGGTCCCTTTTACTAATGCTTTCGAAGAGCACCTCCAGGGCTGGGTCCCCTTTCTTCTCCACCATGCTCAGCAGGGCCTCGTTCTTGCTCTGCCGTGTCTTTGCCTGCTCCACCAGCTCTTTCTCATTCTCAGTGAGAACCTCACTGTCTTGGAGATCATCGAGCACCCCCTTCAGGTCCCCCAACCTGGCCTGGAGTTGCCGGAGGTTCTCCTTCACAAACGCTGCACCTGGACGGAAGGGGGAGTTGCAGACTCTGAGAATTGCTCTCTGACAGGATTTAAGATCTACACCAAACAAAGATTCATCATACCAGGCTGGGGGTGGGTGGCTCTTTTTTTTTTGAGATGGAGTTTTACTCATTGTCCAGGCTGGAGTGCAATGGCGAGATCTCAGCTCACTACAACCTCCACCTCCCAGGTTCAAGTGATTCTCCTCCCTCAACCTCCCAAGAAGCTGGGATTACGGGCCTGTGCCACCACGCCTGGCTAATTTTTGTGTTTTCAGTAGAGAAGGAGGTTTCACCATGTTGGTCAGGTGGGTCTCAAACTCCCGACCTCAGGTGATCCACCCACCTCAGCCTCCCAAAATGCTGGGATTACAGGCGTGAGCCCCCGCGCCTGGCCAGGGATGGCTCTTCATCTTGTGTCTGTTGCCTAGCCCACATTCATTTCATTTTGGGTATTTTACTTCCGGTTCCTGATTAACTTTCTAGTCTCGTACTTACTATATCCCTCTCAAAGTTCAGTATAGAACAACTTTAACTTACAGTTCCCCAGATGCAAGATATTCACCCCAAGAATCTGCTGTTGGTGCTCCTTGTGTGGACATGATTGTCCTCATGCCCTCCAAAAAGTAAGTCACACTCATTTTTCTCTGGCATCGCTCGTTCTTTGTAAATGACAAGGTTAGAAGGAACGGAGCATTGCTTTGTGAAGTCAAGGCACTCAAGGCCTCTTGACACCAGATACACCCCCTGGCTTTAGGGGAAACATTTCACCAACCTGAGGAGGCAGGAGGGGCTGATGCAGCTCCAAGCTGGATGTCCACTACAAAAGAGGGAAGAATTGGAGGTGAGATACAATGAATCGTGTGCCCTCACTTAGCTTTTCTAGTCTTTCACGTGCCAACTAGGACAATTTAATTCTACATATTCTATAAGGCAGGGATCTCATTTGGCACAATACACTAATGAAACCCAATTAAGTCATGTGCCACTCACTGCCCATTCAGGAAATGTATCAGAGAGAGGAACACAGTTTCCCAATATTCTTTCTTTTCTTTTCTTTCTTTTTCTGATGGAGTCCCATTCTGTCACCCAGGCTAGATTGCAGTCCAATCTCAAGGTAATCTCAGCCTCCCAGGTTCAAGCAATTCTATAGCCCCAGCCTCCCGAGTAACTGGGATTATTGGCATGTGCCACCAAGTGCAGCTAATTTTTGTATTTGTAGTAGAGACAGGATTACACGTTTTCCAGGCTGGTCTCGAACTCCTGACCTCAGATGATCTGCCCGCCTCAGCCTCCCAAAGTGCTGGAATTACAGGTGTGAGCACCATTCCCAACCCATGTTCCAAATATTTCTAAGCATAGGTGGATATCTTAGGAACTCCGAGGGCTACGACAATATTATATAATAATGTCAAAAATTATAGTGAAGATAAATGCGTTTCAGATATAAACTATCAACCCTGAAAGAATAAATTTTTATTCGTGTTGGTACCAGGACTTAGAAGTTGATAGAAGGTTTGACAATCGAAGCTACCAATTTGAAAATAATTGAAATGATATTTCCCAGGAGGCCTTCGACATGCTCTTACACTCTCACCTAAAACTCCTGCTGTCTGGGGAAAGGAGGCACAGCCATGGAGCTGGTCTGCAGCTCTATTTCTGCAACCTTCGCCTCCTGGGTGCAAGCGTTTCTCCTGCCTCAGCCTCCCGAGTAGCTGGGATTACAGGCAGGTGCCACCACACCAAGCTAACTTTTGTATTTTTAGTAGAGACGGGGATTCGCCATGTTGTGGAAGCTGGTCTTGAACTCCTGACTTCAGGTGATCTGCCTGCCTCGGCCTCCCAAAGTGCTGGGACTACAGGTGTGAGCCACCATGCCAGGCCTGATCTGCAACTTTCTAGACATTATGAGGAGATGGGACTGTGAGAATTCTGTGAAAGAAGGAAGACCACAAGGGCCGGATTAGCCAACAGCATCAACGCTGTGACAGTATTGCCCCAAACTACTAAAATACATGAGCAGAAACAGGCAAAACCCATCTGAATTGCTCCAAAATATTCCACAATGTACTCATGTTCTAGAAGAACTCGTGTGTCAAGTATCCTCTTATTCCTGGGCGTTCACGTTGGATTCATTTTTCCCTCATTATCAGTGCTTCAAAGAATATCACTGCATATAATTTCCCTTCATCTGTGTACTCTTACATTATAGTATAGATTTCTAAAAGGGGCTTTTTGTTCAAAGGATAGTTTTGTTTTGTTTTTTGAGACAGTCTCGCTCTGTCACCCAGGCTGGAGTGTAGTGGTACAAACTCGGCTCACTGCAGCCTCCACCCTCTGGGGTCAAGTGATCCTCCCACCTCAGCCTCCCAAGTAGCTGGGGCTACAGGCAGCTACTAGCATGCCCAGCTTGTTTTGTATTTTTTGTAGAAATGCGGTTTCATGGTGTTACCCAGGTTGGTCTCGAACTCCTGACCTCAAGCGATCCTCTCACCTTGGCCTCCTAAAGTGCTGGGATTACTGACATGAGCCACCGAGACTGGCCACAAGGGACAATTTTTAAATTAATATAAGTACATATTACTACCGAAAAGGTTAAGGCAATTTACAGTTCCTATGCAAATGTTATCTTAATGTCCTTATTGAAATTTTCCTAATGTGTTACTGAAGATAATGACCTGCTGTGATTGAAGACCCTGATTTCTGCATCATTGTAGGTATTCAAACAGGATGACATTTGCAAGTATTGGAGATACTTGAATATATACACAGAGATTCAAGGACCTATGAGGAGATCTTTGGTAACTTTTCTGGGAGTTTCTAAATTCCATGAAATTGTGTTTCTGATGTTGAGTTTGTATGAATGGATGAAACATTTTATAGGATTTTTCATCAGACTCTCTGAACGAACATGACATCCCAAAATTAAGAAAGGTGAGTGTGGAATAATTTATTAAATTGTGCAGAAAATGGAATGAAGTAGTCTGTAGGTTTGTTCTGACTCTTAAAATCTCCTGTTTTTGGCCGTGCACAGTGGCTCACACCTGTAATCCCAGCTCTTTGGGAAGTCGAGGTGGGTCGATCACTTGAGGTCAGGAGTTTGAGACCAGCCTGGCCAACAGGGTGAAACTCCATCTCTACAAAAAAATATAAAAATTAGCCAGGTGTGGTGGTTGGTGTCTGTGGCCCCAACTACTTGGGAGACTGAGGCAAGGAGAATCACTGGAACCCAGGAGGAGGAGCTTGCAGTGAGCCAAGATTGCACCACTGCACTCCAGCCTGGGCAACACAGCAAGAGCCTGCCTTAAAACAAAACAAAAAACCTCCTGTTGGTTACCCGCAGATGTGGGGGGTTTCCATTCCCATGGCCATCCCCATTCTCAGGCCCCGTGAGCATTTGAACTGCTATGGATAAACCGCTGCCGTCACTTCTGTTTTCCTCACATTGGCAATACACTGACAATCGATTTTTAACCTGGGATGGAACCAGAAACAGGCTTTCTTCTTAGACGCCCAATGGCAGAGGTGTATTTTCCCCTCACCAAAAATGCCAGCCTCACCCACTCACCTACCTGGCTTCACCACAGTCTTCCAGACCAAAGTCCCATGTCTTTTGTCAGTAATCTCAACTTGAATGGGTTCCTTCATCTGCCCAGCATAGAATTTGGAGAAGGGCTGAATTTCTCCAGGACTCCTGTAGGACAATTTCAACTCCTAGAGGAAATACAGCAGTTGGCTTAAAGCAGCGGCGGGTGGGAAGGCCTGGCTCCCTATAGTGAACTGGCCAGTGGAGCGTACCCCTGTTTTCTGTGCAATGTCATGGCTGGTTGAGGGGGAAAACAGAAGGAGAGAGGTAAATCTTTTTATTATTATTATTATTATTTTGGAGAAGGAGTCTTGTTCTGTCGTCCAGGCTGGAGTGCAGTGGCGCAATCTCAGCTGACTGCAACCTCCACTTCCTGGGTTCAAGCGATTCTCCTGCCTCGGCCTCCTGAGTAGCTGAGATTACTAATGCATGCCAGCATGCCTGGCTAATTTTTGTATTTTTAGTAGAGATGGGATTTCGCCATGTTGGCCAGACTGGTCTCAAACTCCTGACCTTGTGATCTGCCCACTTCAGCCTCCCGAAGTGCTAAGATTACAGGCATGAGCCATCGCACCCAGCCAGTAAACATTCTTTTAAATTTACAATGTTAGTAAATACTTTTATTTTATGAAAGCAAGAGCAACCTAGCTCTAAACACCCCATGAGCCAGAGAAAAATGATCTGAGCTGAGTACAAAAATCCTATGTGTTGGCTGGGTGCAGTGGCTCATGCCTGTAATCCCAGCACTTTGGGAGGCTGATGCGGGCAGATCATGAGGTCAGGAGTTCAAGACCAGCCTGGCCAACATGAGAAAACCCTGTCTCTACTAGAAATGCAAAAATAAGCTGGGCGTGGTGGCACGTGCCTGTAACCCCAGCTACTCAGGAGGCTGTGGCAGGAAAATCACTTGAACCCAGGAGGCGGAGGTTGCAGTGAGCCGAGATCGCACCACTGAACTGCAGTTGGGCAACAAGAGTGAACCTCTGTCTCAGAAAAAAAAAAGCTCTAGGGTTTTACCTACCTGGTGTATTATGTTCTATTAAAATAATATGTAGGGATAACTTCAATTGTGCAGAAATATTACAGTCACCTTTAGTAAAAATACTTAAAATGTGATGTGTAATATATCATATTTCTTCATTCAAACTTAACAAATACTTGCTAAGTGACTCAGCTAAGCAAGATGTCATGTCTGCAGGGAACCTTAACAGCGAAGTGGAAACTTTGATTTAGAAACAAAATGCACAGTTTTCCTCACAAGGTAAGTGCCCCAAATGCTAAAATGTTAACTCTGCCTGTGTTAAGGTCTTGGAAATATGTAATTTGATTAAGACTGTTGTCCTGTATTTTCAATTTTTAAAAACTTTATATTTTGATTGATGAAAATACTGCATTTTGCTAAAATTCTATTTGTTTCAAAAGTACAAAATATTCTGAAATCTGCAGTGTTAGGTTTGAATTCTACCAACCGTGGGTATTATTTCCAGATGAGCAGAATTAGACACAATATAATAGGCACCAAAGTTCAGGGGTTCCATCGGGGGCGAAGTCTGCAGACGCACACCACAGAAGCGGCTTTCCTCATCATCTACTGCCTGAGGAAGGAGGCGCAGAAACATTAGAAAGCACAGAAAAAAGGAAAGCAGCACAAATAGTGGCACAAAAGTGTTCTGTATGTTAAGTAGCATGTAGAATATGATTCAACATGCTGAGATGACAGGGCAGGGCACGGCGGCTCAAGCCTGTAGTCCCAGCACTTTGGGAGGCCAAGGCGGGTGGATCACCTAAGGTCAGGAGGTCAGGACCAGCCTGGGCAACTTGTTGAAACCCCATCTCAGATTGAGATGATAGATATTTATGTCTTAATAAAATATACAAATAATTTATTGCTCCATAATTTTCACAGTGGACACACCCATGTGTCCAACACAGATAGACGGAGAGCTGTAGAGTGATAAACTAGACAGATAGAAAGATGCCTCTATGCAAAGAAGATATTAACACTTTGCTGATGGACTTCCAAGAGCCAAAGGATTTCTTGTAAATGCCAACTTATCATAATTTCTTGTACAGTTTGATTTTGTTCTTACACTGTAGAGAGTTTAGCCAGGGGACTTATGTAACAGGGGACAAAGGGGTTTCCTTTGGATGTGTCAGCAGAGGACTGGTAGCTTGGCTGTGTCTGTGAACATGTCTATGATGGGCAAGGGTAGAGATGTTCCTTCTCTCTATCACGGGGCTGCTGTGAGATGCTTGGCCACCTGAGCACCAGTGAGCAGATACAGAAGAGTGAGGTCCCCTCTGAGAGGCCCAGCAGCTGGAGCAGAACTCGAGACCTGGGAACAATCTGAGCAGCCACCAAAGACAAATAATGGAATTCAAACAATAAGAAAACCTTTCAGAAGTCTCAGGTACAACTCAACAGAGACTTTATGGAATGAGTGAGCAATAATTTAAACCAAAAGCAATGATAGTAGGCAGTATTATTAGTCCAGCTGTTAGACACCCTTGGGGTAATGACTGGGAGGGGGCACAAGGGGGCCTCAGGGAAGTTGGTGATGTTCTGTGTCTTGCTCTTGGTGGATACATGGGTGTGTCCACTGTGAAAATTAGGGAGCAATACATTATGTGCATATTACATTAATTTAAAAATATCAGTGATAAATCCCAGCACGTTGGGAGGCCGAAGTGGGTGGATCATGAGGTCAAGAGATCGAGACCATCCTGGTCAACATGGTGAAACCCCGTCTCTACTAAAAATACAAAAAATTAGCTGGGCATGGTGGCGCGTGCCTGTAATCCCAGCTACTCAGGAGGCTGAGGCAGGAGAATTGCCTGAATCCAGGAGGCGGAGGTTGCGGTGAGCCGAGATTGCGCCATTGCACTCCAGCCTGGGTAACAAGAGCGAAACTCTGTCTCAAAATAAATAAATAAAATAAAATAAAAATAAAAGTATCAGTGATATTGATGAAGGAAGGATAGGCAAAGCTGAAACCTAAACTGGGCCCGGAAGACCCCCACCCAGGCGGCGCTGAAGGCATTAAGAAGCAGACACCCAGCCAGGCGTGGTGGATCATGCCTGTAATCCAAGCCCTTTGGAGGCCAAGGAGGGTGGATTACCTGAGGTCAGGAGTTCAAGACCATCCTGATCAACATGGTGAAACCTCGTCTTTAAAAAAAAAAAATTAAAATAAAAAAAAAGAAGCAGACACCCAGATAGAACAGCAAAATGGGACTATCCAGGGGCCAACAGCCTTCCAAGCTGAGAGCCTCAGGGCCTGACAGCATTCCTGGCTGAGGGCCTCAAACAGTTTCTGACCCACTTAGTTATTCTCTCTGAACAGGTGATTATTATTAACTAACAGGTGTTCTGTCTTTTCTCACAAAACCAAGAAAAACTAGGTAGCCAGCTGGTGCCTGCTTACTACTGGTCAAGGACAAACCAGAAAGTAGTCTCCATGAGGGATCCCCGGGGGCAGGACCACATAGCCCGTGCTTAAAGAATTGTTTTAACCGGTGTGTGACAGACATATACTGTTTTGCTACTTTAGAATGCCTCAAGCTGTTTTCCCCTTGTGGGGGGAGGAGGATGCCAGGTTTTCCTTGCCATCGTTCTTCATAGATCAATATAACTTTATCCTACACTCAGCATTTCTCAACAGTAGACATCACAGCAGGAACCTTATGAGCCAGAAGAGAATGGAGTCCTATTTTCAAACTGCTTAAAAATACTGTGCCAATCACAAATTTTAAATCCTGCCAGAATAAGCTTCACAAATGAAGGAGAGAGAGCTTTTCCCTGACAAGTGAATTCTGACAGAATTTGTCACCATTAGATCAGTCCTATAGGAAATGCTCAAAGGAGTTTTGAACATGGAAAAAAAGGTCAATATTCATCATCATAAAAACACATGAAAGTCTGAAACTCACAGGTCTTCTAAAGCAATTACACAAAGAAGGAAAAGAAACCAAATGGGAGCATGGTAGGGTAAGAGAAAGAATAAGGAGCTCACACAACAACTGGGTAACAGTTAACATTGAGTTAGGAGCAAAAGCTCACATGTCAATATGAACCTTGAATGTAAATGGATTAAATACTTCACTTAAAAGATAGAGACAGGGAGAATGGATAAAAAACATGAACCATCTATATACGGCTTACAAGAAACTCACCTTACTGGTTAAGACACGTACAGACTAAACGTATTAGGTTGGTGCGAAGGTAACTGCATTACTTTTAATGGCAAAAACTGGTTACTTTTGCACCGACCTTAAAAGGTAGAAAAGGTATTTCATTTCGACACAAACCAAAAGTGAGTAGGAGTAGCTATATTTATCTTAGATAAAACAGACTTTAAGTCAGAAACAGTAGAAAAAAAAAACCCTCCACAAAGGTCGTTGTGTAGTGATAAAAACATCAGTTCACAGGAGGATATAACAATTCTCAATGTTTGTGTACCCAACACAGGAGCATCCAAATTCATAAAGCAAATATTACTAGACCTAAAGAAAGAGATACAATATTATGGAGGACTTCAACAGCTCAATCACAGCACTAGACATACCACTGAAACAGAAAATCAACAAAAAAATCATCGACATTAAATTGGACATTAGACAAAATGGACTAAGAGATACTTACAGAACATTTACCCAACAATCACAGAATACACAGTCTTATTGGCACACGGAACATTCTCCAAGGTAGATCACATGTTTGTAATGTGGCTAAACAAGAGCCTCAGTACAATTTCACAAATGAAAATAAGGTCAAGTCACTTGAAATCAATTGAAATTAAAGAACAAGCTTCTGAATGATCTTGGGTCAATGACAAAATGAAGATGGAAACGATGGAATCTTTTGAAATGGATAAAATTGAAACACAACATTTCAAAACCAACTGGACACAGGAAAAGCAGTGCTAAGAAGGAAGTTTATAGCATTAGATGCCTACGTGAAAAGAAAATAAAGCACAGATGAACAACTTTATGGTGTTTAGAAAAACAAGAACCACTGAGGTGGGCAGTTTGCAAGGTCAAGAGATCGAGACCATCCTGGCCAACATGGTGAAACTCCTTCTCTTCTAAAAATACAAAAATTACCCGGGCATGGTGGCACACACCGGTAGTCCCAGCTACTTGGGAGGCTGAGGCAGGAGGATCACTTGAGGTCAGGAGTTCAAGACCAGCTTTGCCAACCTAGCAAAACCTGTCTCTACTAAAAATACAAAAAATTAGCTGGGCTTCCTGGCAGGCACCTGTAATCCCAGCTACTAGGGAGGCTGAGGCAGGAGAATTGCTTGAACCCAGGAGGTGGAGGTTGCAGTGAGCTGAGATTGTGCCACTGCATTCCAGCCTAGGTGACAGAGTGAGAACCTCTCTCAGAAATAGAATAAAATAAAATAAATAAAATTTGGTGAGAGAATTTCTGTATATTATTTCTTCTGCCCATTCCACAACATCTCCTCTTTGAGAGCCAGAAAAGAAAGCTCCCTTCTCAGCAGTCCTGAATTTCTGCGGGGATTATTGCATGTGGCTCAATGTTCTGCACCTACAGGTGAACCTCAGGGAGAGTCATCTATGCTTCTCTCCATGAAAACTGTGCCTTGTCCTTTCTGTTTCACAAGGAACTGGAGGGGCCAAGGGGATAAGCTGGAAATATAATTCTCATCTTCTCTGGTCTCCTAAATCACTCGGCTTACCTTCGTTATCAAGGCATTGCTGGGGACAAGGTACAAGTGGAACTTAATATCTTCGGGATGGGAGTGATAATACATCAATGTGTTGGAGGTGATGGGGATGGAGAGGCGGGTCCCACTGGCGATCCGCAGCAGGATGCCCATCAGAGAGAAGCTGGGGTTTTCTAGGACGGCATAAAAAGGCTCCACCCGGGCTGGATGCTCCAGGACCATCCCTTCATCTTTAAAATGGGCAACAAGGAACCAGGAGATGTCCACCTCACCTGCTGCAGGAGAACCACAACAGCAGTGAGACAGGATGCACCCCTGCAGCCCCCACAGCCTCCGCTCACCCCGCAGTACCTTGGAGGGAGATGAAGTGGGGGAGGTGGATTTCGTAGACAGCCTCCTCTGGCTCTGCAGTGATGTCAAACAAGGGGCCGGCCACCAGCCACTGTTCATGGTGCTGCAGGTCCAGGGCCAGGTGCTGACTCCAGGAACCAAATGCAATTCTCACTGTGGCTGCAGCCCTTACCACGAAACCGAGGCCTGTGGCCGACCACAGATACCAGCCAGCAGCAGGGAACCGAATGCTGAAAGGAGCCAGAGTGATGTCATGATGGGAGAACCCCAGGACTTGGATTTAAGCAGCTATGTGCAGAGAGAGGTGGTATTTGAAGTGAGCAAGGTTCAGGACCCATCCGGGACTTTCACTCCATTAGAAAATGCTAGCGAGTTCACTAACCTCTCTGGGCCCCAATTTCTCTGCACTCTATATATGTCGAAATTAAAATGCCGATTTCACAGTGCATGAAATAAACATATTATTGATGAAATTTCGGCTTTCATAAAGAACGGAGCCTACACACTTCCTTTATATCAGAACTGTTTTCAAATCATCAGCGTCGTCCATTCTTACCTGTATATGTTTGCATTCTCGTCAGTCAACTCAACATCCACATTTCCTGCCGGCCTCAGAAACTGAGGATTTTTATAATCTCGTCTGACATCAAAATGGAGTTTAGCAGCACGAGAGGAAAGTGTCTGATGCTCTTCTGAGTGTCCAACTCCTGGAAAGAAAATACGAGCCATGTAAGAGGTAAGGAGTTGGAAGAGGCATGGCCGGAAGGACTCCTGGGGGCTGAATTACACAGGTGCTGCTGGGACTACCAATATCGAATGAGAACAGACAGTGACTAGAATATGGAGTTTTGCTACTTTGAATCCAGACAAGGAAAGACACAAGAACGTTCTTTGTCATGAGTAAAACCCAATTTCCATAGGGTTTTCTGGGAAGCCAGGCTGGACAGTTTTGGGGGTAGGCACCATTTGCTGAGGACTGGAGTCAGTGCATCTAAATGTCCGCTGGTCCCAAATAGCAGGTGACACCTTCTGCTGGTGAGGAAAGCCCAGGTCAGAAAAGGATCAAGCTCCAGAGCTGAGGAGGTGAATGGGTGAGCATTCTTCCTAGCCCCTGCGACTGTCCCCAGCCACCAGGACCAGCCCCTGGTTCCCCTGAGCATTTCCGTGCCCCAGCGGTGGGAGGCTTAAATGTCCCCATTTAAACTGCGTGGTACACCGTGGCCAAGGCAAGGAAAAGCACTCCTGGTCTTCACTGTGCAAAAGACCCCAGGCAAAACCACAGAACGTTTCCACCAATCCAAACGCCCTTCACTTCTCTCCCTGTTAGCCATTACCTGAATCTTCTTCCTCTGAATATTCCCGATCTTCTGATACGCTGGAGGTTGAGATTCCCGTGTTACAAAAATATTTAAAAAATCAAGAATTAGTTGATGAAAATGAAGACAATGTTATTAAAACCTAGAGCTGCAGTGCCCAGTAGAGTGCCCACCACCCAGATGTGCTGTTTACATTTGTATGAATTAAACGTAGGTCAACTTTAGTTTCTCAGTTAGACTGTCCATATTTCAAGTGCTCCACACCTGCACGTGGCTCATGGCTGTAACACTGTGTAGCAGGGAATGAAACACTTCCGTCATCACAGAAATTTCTCTTAGGACGGATCTAGACTATCAAAAAACAGAAGACATTTGAATAAAGATATTTTTACATATATATGTATTAAATATATGTTATATATAAAATATATAATATATATAAAATATATAATATATTAAATACATGTTATAAATATATATTATATATGAAATATATGTTATAACTATGTTATATATTAATATATATTTTAAATGTATTATATATAGTATATTTAATATAAATATATAGAATATATTTAATATATATAGAATATATATTAAATTTAATATATAGAATATGTATTAAATTTAATATATATTCTGTGTATTAAATTTAATATATATTTATTAAATATATATTTTATATATATATTCTAAGACTTTAGAATAAAGATATTTTTATCCAGATTTATGAATAGTGGAGCTAATGTTCTCCCTAGAGCCCAATGTGTCTTGATATCTCTCCCTCTTCTCTTTATTTTATGCCGGTGTTCAACGTGGACACAGCCAGCTTCTCTGGCTTAAATTGCTCCAATTGGTATCATATGATGTTGGAATCAAAGACTGAAGCAGTAATTGACCGACACGTGAAATGCGTGCATTTATATGCTAAGGTAATTCCAACCTTGGCCACACCTGGGAAGCTTTGAAAACCACCCATTACCCAGGTCACAGCCCACACCAATTGAATCAGAAGTCTGGAGGTAGGACCCAAGCATGGGTGCTTTCAAAGCCTCACGGGTGATTCCAACATCAGCCAACATGGACTCCATGGTCTACAGGGTGAGCCAATGGTTCCTCAGGCCCCTGGGGAGAGAAATCTGCCCTAATACAGGTGATACCTTGGAGGAAGGCAACCAACTCCATTAAATTCTCTGCTTTGGGGTGTTTGAATGTGGAAAAAAATCAAGACTAGGGGAGTCAGAGGGCGAGACTCCCAGTCCCTAAGAGGGTAGATGATGAAATAGCAAATAAAAACAATGTTTATTTCTGTGGCAATGACAGTTATGGCATAACAGATGCTGCTGTGGGATCATGAAACATGGTTAGCTTTTCTGCTGACATTTCCTTAGGTTCCCTGGTCCTTCGATCTATTCCTTGCTATGTCTGTTTATTTCAACGTGAAAGAGACCAGCAGAGAAATCCACACGTAGATTAGGTTTAAAAAGAACAGGTACCTGGAGAAGCGGGATGAAGAGAAAGGCTCTATAGCGCTTTTCTCAGAAGGGTTCTGTGGGCAAGCCAAGCATGGAGAGACCCTTGGTCTGACATCCTAAGGCTGGTTGCCATCTGCAGCTGCACATTTCACCATGGATTCGGATAGCCACATGCAAAGCAGCAAGAGTAAACCTGCTATTGTATATTCTCTCTCCTGGTGCATGTGCATGCGTAGTCTGCCTGCTGAGGAGGGCTTAGAAGGTGGGAGGAGCCAGCGCTGAACTGCTCATTCCCAGATCATGAGAACCAACGGTTCCATTGTCAGGGATCTTGCAAGCTGGTTGTTCAACACAACCCTTAGTCTAAATTAAATGATACAAACTAACATTTATTTTATTTTATTTTATTTTCTTCAGCCTCCTGAGTAGCTGGGATTACAGGCATGCACCACCACACCTGGCTAATTTTTGTGTGTGTGTTTTTATTTATTTATTATTTTTTTTTTAGAGGGAAAAAGAGAAAAAGAAGGGGAAAAAAAGAAAAAGAGGGAAAAAGGAATATTACTTCATTCCTAAAATGGGTTTCAATAATGGCCGATCCATATTTTGAGTGTCTAAAGTGGTTAATGCATATTTTATGTGTTTAAAATGGAGACCTCTATTGTGTTTATTTGTTCTGGCTCTGAGTTCAAGTCCTGGATATCATTATCAATTTGTTGTCTCGTTGAATCTAAATCTCATTATGTGTCTTATGCATCTGGGTGTTAAGATCTCTTATTGTTGCATTAATCCTTTTACCCTTGCATCCTTGTAGCTTTGAAATCTATTTTATTCAGTGTGAGAATTGCAACTCCTGCTTTTTATTTATTTATTTTTGCTCTCCATTTGGTTGGTGAGTTTTTTTCCATCCCCTTGTTTTGAGTCTTTGTATATCTTTAGATATATTGTTAGATTTTGTGGATAATGTATATTTTGTGTGTTTAAAATGGAGAGCTCTATTGAGTTTATTTGTTCTGGATCTTAGTTCCAGTCCCGGATATCGTTATCAATTTTCTGTCTCGTTGAATCTAAGTCTCATTATGGGTCTTATGTATCTGGGTGTTAAGATCTCTTATTATTACATTAATCCTTTTACCTTTGTATCCTTGTAGCTTTGAAATCTGTTTTGTCAAATGTGAAAATTGCAACTCCTGCTTTTTATTTATTTATTTTTGCTCTCCATTTGGTTGGTACATTTTTTTTTTCCAACCCTTTATTTTGAGTCTATGTATATCTTTGGATATACCATTAGATTTTGTCTGTATCTTTTGATTGGGAGATTTGGTCGATTTAAATTTAGGGTTGCTGCCATTTGATATTAACTGGCTATTTTGTCCTTTAGTTGATAAAAATTCTTCTTTATGTTAATGCTGTTTACTTTTTGGTGTATTTTTAGAAAGGGTCATACTGGTTGTTCCTTTCTGTGTATAATGCTTCTTTTAGAAGTTCTTGTAAAGCAGGCCTGGTGGTAATAAAATCTTTGAGTACTTGCTTGTTCCTAAAAGATTTTATTTTTCCTTCAAATGTAAAGCTTAAATTGGCAGGATATGAAATTCTGGGCTGAAAGTTCTGTTGATTAAGTATATTGAATATTGGCCCCCATTCTCTTCTAGCTTGTAGGGTTTCCGTTGAGAGATCTGCTGTAAGCCTAATAGGCTTACCTTTATGGGTAACTTGATCTTTCTCTCTGGCTGCCCTTAATATTTTCTCCTTCGTTTCGATCTTGGTGAATCTAATGATTATGTGCCTTGGGGTTGGTCTTCTTGAGGAATATCTTTGTGGTGTTCTCTGTATTGCTTGGGGTTGAATAGTGTCCTGCTTTGCTAAATTAGGAAAATAGTGTCCTGGATAATGTCCTGGAGAGTATTTTCCAGCTTGAATTCATTCTCTCCGTCACATTCAGGTACACCAATCAAGCGTATATTAGGTCTTTTCACATAGTCCCATATTGCTTGGAGACTTTGCTCATTCCTTTTTATCCTTTTTTCTCTATTCTTGTCTTGTCGTTTTGTTTCATTAAGTTGATCTTCGACCTCTGATACCCTTTCTTCTGCTTGATCCATTCGGCTGTTTAAGCTTGTACATATTTCACTGAGTTCTCGTGTTGTATTTTTCAACTCCATAAGTTCATTTGTATTCCTCTCTATATTGTCTATTCTTTTCAACATTTCATCGAACCTTTTTTCCAAGTTCTTAGTTTCTTTACATTGGGTTAGAACAAGTTCCTTTAACTCCCAGAAGTTTCTTATCATCCACCTTTTAAAGCCTACTTCACATAATGGAACACAGTCCTTTTCCATCAGGGCTTGTTCCATTATTGATGAGTCCTTTTCCATCAGGGCTTGTTCAGTTGCTGATGAGTCCTTTTCCATCAGGGCTTGTTCCGTTGCTGATGGGTTCTGATTTTGGGTATGCTCGGCCTTCTTAGGCTGTTTTTTTCCCTTCATTGTAGATGAACCGCCTTTCTAATTAGGTTTCTGAGTCGACGTCCGACTTATTGATTCCCAGTGCTGGGATCCGAGCCACCCACTGTGGCGGCCTAAATAGCAGCGATAAGACTGATGGTGCTCTTCTGCCCGGGAATCTCTGGTCTGGCTTCACTCTTGAGTCCGCAACAAGTGGCTCTGACTTCCCGGAGGTCCCAACTCCGGTCAGTAGGGGAAGCGGTCCCGTTGGCTCTGCGTGAAGAGCTGCTGCGCCGAGATGCCGGCAAAACCGCTGCGGCGGCCACAAGAGTCACGCTGGCGACCCGTGGGGCTCCTCCACTGGGAATCGGCTGATCGGTGAGTGACGAAAATTCGTCTAAAGATGTGGCGTCGTCTCGTTCTCTGAGCTTTCACTGGGAGCTACAATCCCGAGCTGTTAGTGGTCGGCCATCTTGGATCGATCTCACAAACTAACATTTAAATAAATCCTATTAACAGGAATACATTCTTAAAACATACCAATTTCTAGTTTTTTTGTTTGTTTGTTTTTTTGAGATGGAGTTTCGCTCTTGTTGCCCAGGCTGGAGTGCAATGGTGCGATCTTGGCTCACCTCAACCTCTGCCTCCTGGGTTCAGGCAATTCTCCTGCCTCAGCCTCCCGAGTAGCTGGGATTACAGGCACGCGCCACCATGCCCAGCTAATTTTTTGTATTTTTAGTAGAGACGGGGTTTCACCATGTTGACCACGATGGTCTCGATCTCTTGACCTCGTGATCCACCCGCCTCGGCCTCCCAAAGTGCTGGGATTACAGGCGTGAGCCACCGCGCCCGGCCCCCAATTTCTAGTATTTTCTACACTACATTTTTCTAGACTTTCTAGCAGTCTATGCCCTTGAGGTTATTTATGTCTACTGTATCTGTGTGATGAAAATGTGATGATGGACTGCTGTAGGTGTCCTTCCAACGCCCTCACCAGGGACTTCAGGTTGGTAGTTTGAAATCTGCCATGATGGAGATATTCACCCCTTGGAAACTGGCATATGCTACAAATAGGGGCATCCTCCCCTCCCGGGTGTTAAACCTCAGGACCCCACGGCAGCCTTCAGACTCATCATTAGCCAGTTCCTAGAGAATTAGGTTGGTGTTAGGCATTGAGTAATAGCTCAGCCAAAATAGCGCCCTGGTCTTTGATTGCATTGTTCCTTGCCTTTTTGTGCATAGGTTCTCTACACACCCCATGGAAGAAAATGTCATTGCTTAAGGTTTGATTCAAAAATTTCTGGAATTGTGTGGCAATAATGCTCATTCATTCTAATGAATAACATTCACTTTTATAAGTGATTATTCATTCAATGAATAATCATAAGCTCATTACGTTCATTCATTATACACATTCATAATGAATGAACATAAGCTTCTTCCCTCTAATGACTTATGCGAAACATATTTTTAAATACTTATTCACCATTTGTGTATACTTTTGGCAATGACAAAATGTCTACTACATCATTTTCAAAATTGTGTTTTTACCTTTTTATTATAGTTTGTTTTCTTCAGCTTAAAATCAGAGGACTTTAAAATATTTTTCATTCCTATGTTTTCCTTCTTTGTGGTTTAATGCTGATTGCATTGTTTCCTCAATGATTTTTTCAGAATGTCCATAACTAGTGTTCAGAAATCCCATTAATATGTGCATTTTGATTCATAGTCTGTAACATTGCTCAGTTTATTCCTTACTTTGAGTGGGTTTTTAGGAAATTGCTCAGGGTTTTTTTTTTTTTTTTTTTAAATGTGGGAGGATTTCTTGGACTTTTAAAGACAATTATTTTTCTTCTTTGTGACCTTGGGTCCTTTTCTTCCTTTTTTTCTTGCATGATTGGTTTCTGTAGCAAAATTCTGCAGGACAATGTTTAATAGAAAGGAAAAAAAATGAACCTGTGTGTCTTGTTCCCATTCTTATGGGGAAGACAGTCTTGCTTCCCACTGAGTATAATGTTTACTGCAGGTTTTCTGTGCATCTTCTTTATTAGGTGCTGGATGTTCTATTCAATTCCTAGCAATTTAAAAAATTTTAATTATAAAATGTATTTAGTCCAGTGTTTTTATTCTGTGTCAATGAGATGATTACATCTTAATCTTCCTTGATTTTCCTAGTATGGGATATTATATTAAATTCTTTTGAACAGCTTTATCAAGTATAATTGATCTACAAAAAAATCCTTCATCATTAAGATACTCAAGTTGATGAGACTGAATATAAACCTGTGATATATTATTTCCTCTGATTCCAATGAAAATCACCTAAATTCCTCCTGATTCTCATGTTTCTCTGTGATATTGAGATATAGCGACCAATGCTGTCAGCTTTTCTCAAAAATAGTTTCCCTTACCTGAAATCCTCATCCTCAAAGGGTTGATGCAGTTGATGCTCAGGAGGAATGCCGGACGGTGACTCCTCTGCCTCCATCTGATCCTTGCGTCTTAGGATATTTTGTGTGTTGCACGTCATTTCCATGGTTGGATAGCATATTCTCTCAGATTCTCTAAAGAAACAGAATGGGATTTGCACTACAAATATAGGGTAGGCTCTGCAGGAAGATTTTATGTTAATAGCCGTAGACCCCATATTCTGTCTTTAGGAAAGTCTTTTCTCAGGCTCCCATGGCGCCATCTCACCTCTCATTATATTCAATTTAACTGTCTTTCTGTCCCTTGCTAAATACTGGTTTTTACATCCAGGAAGCAGACCTCGGTCAATTCTCAACACGTACTGTTTGCCACAAGGTGTAGTTGCATAACAGGTCAACCTTACTGAAAAATGTAGGGAAAAAATGAGATTCCTGGTTTGTACTCCACGTTCACCCATCATTTGCGCCAAAGAGAACGGAACCCTAGAATGACTGACTTAAAGCCCAGGATATTAGTGAGACTGGGCACGTGTGAGAACCACCCGTGGAACAATGGTGGTCCTCTTTTGCCCTCTGCTTCCACATGGTGAGGAGAGTCTGGGTAAAGACAACCAGGCTCAGAGGGAAGGAAATGATGCATATTGTATTTATTTCCTTCTTCCATCAAAGATCCTTATTCAGATATGGAACATGAAAGCCCCATGCTAGATCCTTTCCTCTTCTTCCTTCTCAAGGCTGGGCTCTGGTCTCCTTCGGGTCATGGAAATCAAGATTGGGGTTAGAAGGGAGTGTCCATTGAGCCAAGATTGTCCCTGGCCAGTATGACAGCCACTAGCCACATATGCCTGTTTAATTTTATTTTCAGTTTGGGAGCAGGTACTGTTTATTAACTGACAGGATTAAAAATATAGGGCCAGGCACGGTGGCTCAAGCCTGTAATCCCAGCACTTTGGGAAACTCAGGCGGGCGGATCATGAGGTCAGGAGATCGAGAGGTCAGCCTGGCTAACATGGTAAAACCCCATCTTTACTAAAATTACAAAAAAATTAGCCGGGCGTGGTGGTACGCGCCTGTAGTCCCAGCTACTTGGGAGACTGAGGCAGGAGAATCGCTTCAACGCGGGAGGCGGAGGTTGCAGTAAGCCAAGATCACACCATTGCACTCCAGCCTGGGCGAAAGAGCGAGACTCCATCTAAAAAAAAATAAATATATAAATAATAATCATGACAGACACCTTAGTGTCTTAGTTCACTCTTCTAAGAAGCCTATTGATCTGGTCCCCCCTGTTGCCAGCATCTCCACCGTCTACGAAACGGGCGGTCTTTTTCTTTACTCCACCTCATGGAGAGGATAGTTTAAAGGGCCGCAGGAAGTTGTTTCTTCAAAGCATTTTCCAGCAGTATATATCTCAGGAATCTAATCCTCCACACACAGGATGCCACCTGTACCAAGAGGTCAAACAATGAGTGTTATCCGCCAAAGCAATTTGCTTCTTCTTGGATTTGCCATAACCACGCTTGTAGATTAGTTCATTTACTGACTTCAGATTTGGGTCCCCCCATGTAATATATGGCTCTGCAATCCTCAGCATGTTAACTGAAGCCTTGTTGAGGTTCACAAAGGTCCCATCAGAGATTTGACGAAGGAGAAGAAGCTGCAACACCTTTTGGACCTTTGGACTCACACCATTGACCCCTCTGGTCCTGATGACAAAGGCCAGTCTGGGTTCTGCAGGTACCCGAAAGTTGCCAGCTTTTCCTGGCATCCTCGCCATTTGAATTTCAGTTCCGTCCATCTGCCTATATTCCTTGTGACAGTGTTTCACTTTTTCTTAGATAAGCTTCCTCCCTGCCTTTCGAAGTATCTTTTGGGCAAACTTCTTTCTCCGGCACTTGACCTTCAGCTCTGCAATATTCCTTTGCTTTTTCTACCAGGCCCCGATCCTGCTTGGCTTCCGCGATCAGAAGAGATCGGGTGCATCTAGACTGGTACAGCGGGAGACTCCTTTCCTTTTTCCTAAGGCTTTCTGGCACAGCAGGAACCTTCTTCTCTGCGACACCCTCCATGGTTCCAGCCAGAAAAACATAAATTTTAATTTTAATTAGCTAATTAAATGTGAAAACCAGTTTCTCATTTGAACTACTAGCACATAAGTGTTCAGACGCCACCTGTGGCCAGTGGCTTCCATATTGGACAGCAAAGGTAGGGAGCATTTTCATCCTGGTAAGAGCTCTCTACTGGACAGCACTGACTAGTCATCTGCTACTGTCCGGTTGGCCAAAAAGTCCTGCTTTGGGGTGTCTGGCATTGATTTAACCAACCAAAGTGGTTCTTTGAGCCCTACCATCCATGGTCTCCTGTGTGTAGTGCTGCCCTTGAAATATCCCCTGGAAAACGGATGGATGGACTCAGCAAGAGTGAGGAATTCCTGTGTTCATTAGCAGTACTTTCAACCTGTCAAATGCCACCCGGAAATACAATCTATACCTGAGCTAACAGCAATGTATCAATATCAATGTCCTGTTTTTGACAGTGACCTAGTCTTACTAAAAAGCATTGGCCAGGAGTGGTGGCTTGTGCCTGTGATACCAGCACTTTGGGAGGCCAAGGTGGGCAGACCACCTGAGGTCAGGAGTTCAAGACCAGCCTGGCCAACATGGTGAAACCCCGTCTCTACTAAAAATACAAAAATTAGCTGGGTGTGGTGGCACATGCCTGTGGTCCCAGCTACTCAGGAGGCTGGGGTGTAAGAATCGCTTGAACTTGGGAAGTGGAAGTTGTAGTGAGACAAAATCATGCCACTTTTGCACTCCAGCCTGGGTGACAGAGCAAGACTCCATCTCCAAAAAAAAAAAACAAGAAAAAGAAAAGAAAAAAAAAGAAATTTAAAATTATAACAAAAAAGAAAAAGAAAATAATATCCTGATTTTATGCAATTAGCCAAAATATCTCTGCTTCATATGAATTTATACAAGAGAGAGAAACAAGATTCAAAATCTTCCATTTTTCACCAAAGAATATATGTCTCTTACTCATGGAATATGATCTGAGGAGGAAAGAAAGCTGCTATTGTCACATCTTTTTCATTCTGCTGAGTCACTCTGCCACGGGGCGACAAAAAATACTTCTTCTGTCTGTATCTGCATCCACACAGCCTGGGAAAACACAAATGGAGTTAGAATGTTAAGTACGTGGGAGGAGCCTGATGGTCAGACAGTCTCTTCACTGTGATGTAGTGTGAAGCAGCCCCTGATCTTGCGTCCATCTTTAGAGACGCCGTCTCTGAGGCCCATCCTATCATAAAAGCCCATTCCGCCACACTTGTGTTGAATTAACTGCATCTCTGTCTCCACTCAGGAGACAGTGATCTTAGCAGGCATGCCTCCTTTGATTTTCAATCCCTGATGGCACAACAGTCCATCACACTTGGTGACATTCACTCCAGGCTTCTGAAACAAGACAACATTCTTTTAAGTGTAGAAGCATAAGAAGGGCCCTACTCTTCCATCCATCGCTGATCCTTAAAAGGAGGGAATGTTAACTTAATTGAGTCAAAATGCACAACACTGGATGGACTGAACTTCTTCAAAAGCAGAATCTTGAGCTGGGTGTGATGGCTCATGCCTATAATCCCAGCAATTTTGGAGGCTGAGGTGGGCATAGCACCTGAGGTCGGGAGTTTGAGACCAGCCTGACCAACATGGAGAAACCCCGTCTCTACTGAAAAAACAAAAAATTAGCCAGGCATGGTGGCATTTGCCTGTAATCCCAGCTACTGCGGAGGCTGAGGCAGGAGAATCGCTTCAACCTGGGAGGTGGAGGTTGCAGTGAGCTGAGATTGGTCCGTTGCATTCCAGCCTGGGCAACAAGAGCAAACCTCTGTCTTAAAAACAAACAAACAAACAAACAAACAAAAAAAACAAAACAAAGCAAAGCAAAGCAGAATCTCTTATTTCATGTGAGTGAATTATGAACAATGCAGACGAGGGAAATGTGCATTTAAAAGCATTTGTGGACATTTCTTAATCACTAAAGACGTATCAAAAAGGCCGAGCGTGATGGCTCATGCCTGTAATCCAAGCACTTTGGAGCCCAAGGCGGGCGGATCACCTGAGGTCTGGAGTTCAAGACCAGCCTGACCAACATGGTGAAACCCCATCTTTTAAAAAAAAAAAAAAAAAAAAAAGACGTATCAAAAAACTTATCCTCGGCCAGGCGCAGTGGCTCACGCCTGTAATCCCAGCACTTTGGGAGGCCAAAACGAGAAGATCACCTGAGGTCAGGAGTTTGAGACCAGCCTGACCAACATGGAGAAACCCCATCTCTACTAAGAATAAAAAACTAGCCAGGCATGGTGGTGCATGCCTGTAATCCCAGCTACGATGGAGGCTGAGGCAGGGGAATTGCTTGAACCTGGGAGGTGGAGGTTGCAGTGAGCTGAGATTGCACCATTGCATTCCAGCCTGGACAACAAGAGTGAAACTCTGTCTCAAAAAAAAGGACAAAACCTTACTTAACCTCTCTGAATATCAGTTTTCTAACTTGTAGAATAAGGATGCAATGTCATCATCACAAATCCTTGTGGTGATTAATTCTCGAAGGCTAAAATTACTTAGTACAAGACCTAATATATACTGAGTTCCAGAAAATGACTCATCACAGTTGCCTTCAGCATTCCCTAGTCTATGGTCTTTTGTGCATGCCATAGGCTCTAGTCAGGTCCAGCTACTATTTTAATTAAAAAAAAAAAAGCATAGACTGGATGGGTTATGAACAGTATAAATTTACATCTCACCACTTTAGAGATTAGAAAGTGCAAGACCAAGACCCTTGCAGATTTGGCAGCTGGTGAGGACCTGCTTCCAAACTCATAGGCAACGGTCTTTCTGTGTCCTCGTGTGGCAGAATGGGAAAGGAGTTCTCCAGGGTCTCTCTTTTTTTTTTTTTTTTGAGACAGAGTTTCACTCTTGTTACCCAGGCTGGAGTGCAATGGCGTGATCTCGGCTCACCGCAACCTCCGCCTCCTGGATTCAGGCAATTCTCCTGCCTCAGCCTCCGGAGTAGCTGGGATTACAGGCACGCGCCACCATGCCCAGCTAATTTTTGTATTTTTAGTAGAGACGGGGTTTCACCATGTTGACCAGGATGGTCTTGATCTCTTGACCTCGTGATCCACCTGCCTCGGCCTCCCAAAGTGCTGGGATTACAGGTATGAGCCACTGCACCCGGCCCAGGGTCTCTTTTATAATGGGATTAAGGTCATTAGTGAGGGATCTGCCTTCATAACTTAATCACCTCTCAAAGGCCCCACCTACTAATACCATTTTATTGAGAGTTAGGGTTATAACAATGAATATTGGAGGGACACAAACCTTCAATCTACAGCAGATTCTGAATCGTGTACATAGAAATCTTTGGATACATTCATTTATTCTGAGTTCCAAGACTGCAAAATAGTGCATTGATTTGGCACAATTGAGATGTGTGAGCCTCATGCTATTGAGGAGCTGTTAAAACACAGACGGGGGACAGTTTAGTGAGTCATGCTGTACAGTTCTGCTCCAATCTGGGAGCCATGCTATGGGATTGTCAGGAGCATAGTCAAAGCCACGTGACACACGCACCAGGGAGAGAGCTGGAAGAAGACTCATTTTTGCTCAGGTATGAAGTCACCGTGGTCAGAGTCAGGCATGGAGAGAGGAGGTCTAAAAAGTATACCTGGGTTCCCATGGGGGTTTTCTCCTTCAGTCATGCAGAGATGAATGAGTGAATGAATGAATGAATTAAACATAAGCAGAGCCTTAACCTGCAGAGTGAGAGAAAATGTTTGCAACCCACCCATCTGGAAACGGTTTAATATCCAGAATCTACAAGGAACTTAAATAGATTTACAAGAAGAAAACAAACCCATTAAAAAGTGGGCAAAGGACATGAATAGGCACTTCTTGAAGGAAGATGTTTATGCAGCCAACAAACATATGAAAAATGCTCAACATGACCGGTCATTAGAGAAATGCAAATCAAAACAATGAGGTATCATCTCATGCCAGTCAGAATGGCAATTATTAAAAAGTCAAGACACAATAAATGCTGATGAGGCTGTGGATAAATAGAAACCCTTTTCATTATTGGTGGAAATGTAAATTAGTTGAACTATTGTGGAAAACAGTGTGGCAATTCCTCAAGGAACTAGAACCAGAAATACTATTTGACCCAGCAATCCCATCACTGGGTATATACCCAAAGGAATATAAATCATTCTATTATAAAGATACATGCACACATATGTTTACTGTAGCACTATTCAAAATAGCAAAGATACAGAATCAACCCAAATGCCCACCAATGATAGACTGGATTAAAAAATGTGGCACACATACATCATGGAATACTAAGCAGTCATAAAAAGGAGATCATGTCCTTTTCAGGGACATGGATGAAGCTGGAAGCCATTATCCTCAGCAAACTAACACAAGAACAGAAAACCAAATACTGCATGTACTCATAAGTGGGAGCTGAACAGTGAGAACACATTGACACGGGGCGGGGGGGGGAACAAAACACCCCAGGGCCCGTGGGAGGAGTGAGGAAGGAAGAGCACCAGGATGAATAGCTAATGCTTGCAGAGCTTAGTACTTAGATGACGATGGGTTGGTAGGTGCAGCAAACCACTGTGGCACACATATACTATGTAACAAATCTGCATGTCCTGCACATGTAGCCCAGAAGTTAAAATAAGATAAGAAAGAAACGTAAGCAGATCCTTTTCCTCCAGAAAATATCCGTGGTGCCCTGTAGCGCATGAAAAATCATGAGATGCAGAAGAATGAGGCAACAAGAGCCCTCACAGAGCACACAGTCACTCACCATTTCTGAAGCCATCTCCCACACCCGAAACTCTTTTTTGAAGATCTCCTTCTTCCCATTTATCAAGAGATGTATTTATGTATTTCTCTACTGTATCTCTATTAACCCTGAGAAAAGAAAAGAAGATTACATTGAAACAAGTCAGAAGGACCTTCAGATAAATGCTAGCTTCCATATCTCCACAAGACAGATAAAAGTGCTTATTACCTAGGAAGTAAAACAATAAAGTTTTTTTAAAAAAAAAAAAAAACAAGAAATGAGTGTATTACCCATTCAGGAGCCATGCATCACGCCCAGCAGTGGTAGGCACTTAGGACAGAGGCCAACACAGGGGAACTTGTAAGATAAAAAGTTTTTCGCGGGGCTGGGCATGGTGGATCATGCCTGTAATCCCAGAACTTTGAGAAGCGGAGGTGGGCAGATCAGGAGTTCAAGACCAGCCTGGCTGACACGATGAAACCCCGTCTCTACTAAAAATACAAAAATTAGCCAGGCATGGTGGCATGTACCTGTAATCTCAGCTACTCAGGAGGCTGAGGCAGGAGAATTGCCTGAACCCAGGGGGCGGAGGTTGCGGTGAGCCAAGATGGCACCACTGCACTCCAGCCTGGGTGAAAGAGCGAGACTCCATCTCAAAAAAAAAAAGTCCATCGTATTATGGTTTGCAATCAGGAAAAAAGGTGGCAACAAACGAAATGTCCATCACTAAAAGAATGGATGCATTGATTATAGTGAAATACCCCAGCTTGAGCTTGGTTATAATGAATACATTTTAAACAATCCTGCCAACTCGCTATGTTTGCCCACTCTGAGTTACGTAGGGCATTCTGTTCCCAAAGCTTGCGGTCTGAGACACCTGGCATCTTTGTAACCCACTTTCTGAGAAACGGGGCCCACTGGCCCTGTACATCCTGTATCTGTAACTGTGTAACTGCTACCCCACATCCTGAATAAAAAAACAATTTTAAGTAGAACTTTTTGTTAGGCAACCCTCCCCCCCCACTTCCCTTAACCTGCTCCTTCGGCTTCTGTAAAGCGCCCCCCGAGTCTAAACTGGTATAAACTTTGTTCTTGGCCGAGAGGTTTGAGCTCTAGCTGACACTCGGACGCCGGCATAAAGGTGGACTCTCAACACGCTCAGTGCGTGGCGCTTCCGTGTAAACTCGCTTGGGTGTAACAATAATATGACATTTGCATTAGTTCTGTAGAGCAGTTACCATGAATTGCTGAAACCATGGGTTAAACATTGATGAATATTCACAATATTGGTTAAAATTAAATCGCAGAAGAAATTGTACAGCGTGACACCAAGCAAATACAATTTTTAAGTAATATAGAAAATGTTATTTAAAATATATGCAAAACATTTAAGACATGAAGGGAGATAAAGACCTGTTTCTTTTTTTTTTTTTTTTTGAGACGGAGTTTCGCTCTTGTTACCCAGGCTGGAGTGCAATGGCGCGATCTCGGCTCACCGCAACCTCCGCCTCCTGGGTTCAGGCAATTCTCCTGCCTCAGCCTCCTGAGTAGCTGGGATTACAGGCACGCGCCACCATGCCCAGCTAATTTTTTGTAATTTTTAGTAGAGACGGGGTTTCACCATGTTGACCAGGATGGTCTCAATCTGCCGACCTCGTGATCCACCCGCCTGGCCTCCCAAAGTGCTGGGGTTACAGGCTTGAGCCACCGCGCCCGGCTAAAGACCTGTTTCTATGTAGTGGTACAGCCCAGAGGAGGAGGATGCATTCCAGAAATTTCAAACACTGCTTCAATTTTACTTAAAATATTTTATGTATTACCTATATTATCTGTTTTATTTTAAATAATGGGCAACGATACTACAAACTCTGCAGAAGCATCATGTTTTCCCCGGTCCGGATGCTTGCCCTGACCCCGTTGACCTCCCACAGCCAACACGGTAACTGGAAGTCTTGAGAGCTCACTTCCCTCTAATCTCAGGAAGCCCTCCCTCTCTGTGAGCATTATCGCAAAAGAAGCTGAGAACTAGTGAAACTGAAGCCTAAGGGGATTCTCCCGTTTGTCCCATCCTCCCTAAAGTCACCACCTGCTGCTTTCCTGGAGCTCTTACCAGGTGAGTTTCAGGAGCCCCAGGGTACAGAAGAAGAAGCGGAGGCTTGTTGCTAGGACACCGCCAGGCTGCTCTGTGTTCGGTTCTCCTTGGTCATCAAGAAAGGGAAACCCCAAAGGGAGAAGTTCATACAAAGCTGTCAGAAAGAGAAACAGGTCCCTCCCCTTGTTAAAAAAATAGGAAGCGTGA